CTGCAGCTGCCAGAGATTATTTGGCTATACCAGCATCTGGGGTATCAGTCGAAAGACTGTTCAGTGGGGGAAGAGATCTCTTAGGAGTGCGGAGGAGCTCAATGAGTGCAGAGACTATGAGGCGTCTTATGATGCTGCGAGATACATGGAAATAGCTTCAGAGATTTACGAATAATTACGAATAATTACGAATAATGCGAATATTATTCGTACGAATATTAGTAAGCGGAAATTCTAAATTTTATTCGTATTCGACTACGAATATTCGTACGAATATTCGTAATCGAATATTCGTGTCCAGCCCTAATGGCCAAAGACCTCTCTGTCTTTGAATGAGTGTCGAATCGTACGTAGCTTGAAGGCGTCTTTACGGATTTTCGGCATCTCAGAGAAATGAAGCCTTATCAGCCGCTGAGAACCCCCACCTCGAAATCTGCGTATTTGACCGCCGGAAATAGTGCTTTAACGCAAGAAACGGCTTGCCGTCAAGAGGCTGAAGGAAGTGGGTTGTTTGCGGAGGAAACGGAATCAGAATAATACTACCTGGTCGCGGTCAAACTGCGCCCAGACGATGCATCATGCATCATGTAATTACCTATCATCCACTGGATTCGCGACACTGACCTGCAGAGGGTGCTGCAATGGGCAAACATTCCCGGTTTTTTTATCCCAGTGCGAACATTCACAGCATTACCAGCCTACAAGAGGCCTACTAAACTAGAAAGTCTTTTATGGCTCCGTAATCCACACCATATTCACTTTTCGAGACCCGTCTCCTTGCGAATGCCCCTGCCAAGGAACTTGAGCCCGATGACACCCAGAGTCTGCGCGCCAGCCATCCCAGCGATGATCGAATAGCCAAGATGGAACTTCGGTGCCATAGTGCCCGTATTGAAGATCAGAATCGGTACCCAGGCGTTAAAGGCAGCGCCGATTGCTTGTGCGCAACCTAGGATGAGTGCGCGTTCTTCTGGCAGGGCGGAGAACGTCTCATTAAGATACGACTAGGTCACAATTAGCTTTCACTCCTGGCTCAAGGTCGGAATATAAAGCTTACAATCATGATCGGACCGTACGCAAGTGTCGTGGCCATGCTGATATATCCATAGAAGATTGCCCCTTGGCTCGGTGCGGCAGCAAGGACGGCGCAAGATACAGTGCCGACGATGCAGATGAAGAAGGCCACGAAGGTTCGGTTTCGCAGACCATCTGACAAGAAGCCATAGAAGATGGTGAAGACCAAACCGGCTGCGTGGGCAGATGTAGGGATGCTGAGAGCTTTGTTAGGTGTGAACACATGCAGTGGAATAGTAGACTGACATGTTGACTTGCGAGACCGAGTATGTCTTGAGCGCCTTGAGGTAGATAGCGAAGAAAGCAAGCGGATAAGTATCCAAGCAGAAGAAGATGTAGTTCACCACAAAAAGCCAGACGAAGGGCCGCATCGCCATGGTTTTGAAAGTTGTAAAAGTAGCGCCAGAGAACGGCTTCCGGCCAATTCTTGTCATTCTTGACTGTGCAAGCTCCCTTTCCTCCTCGCTAAGGTAGCGAGCCTTGGTGTTGTATGGCGAGTCGGGCACGGCAAAGAAGCCATAGAGTGAGCCTGGGACAGTGATGATGCCACACATGATGAAGAGCCATCTCCATCCGGCAAGTCCGTGGAGGCCATTCATACCATTGTAGACGCCAGCCTGCAGGTACCCGGAGAACATATTCGCTGCGAAAGAGGCCGAGTAGAAGATACTTGCTCGCTTCGCTAGCTCCTTTGGCGTGTACCAGTTGCCAAGTAGCGTCATCGCGCCGATGTAGAACGGCGACTCGATCAACCCGATGAGGAAGCGCATGGCATAGACTTGCTTCGCATTACTGACCGCGGCAAAGCAGAACGTGATGATGGCCCAACAAACCTCGCAAGCGGGAAGATAATACGATGGCCTAACATAGGTGATGATATATTGACTGGGGATCATGCCAATGGTGTAGCCGATGGTCCAGAAGGTGGTGAAGTAATTATACTCGTCGCCAGTGAGATTGAGGTCTTCCTTCATGCCGGAGACATATGCATTAGCTAGGAAGGGTTAGCTCCATCGGTTATAAACTTCGTCGAGTGAAGGCTCACTCATGTTGGTGGTGTCGAGAAGCCGAATAAAGTAGCCAAAGCATGCCCAGCTCCTGGTTTGCTGTCAGTATACAGTCGTTCTCGTTAACGCTCTGCCTCCTTCAACTCACAGAATATATAGATCAAGCTTCCACAGCAGCCTCCTCTCCGCTGTCATAGTTCCGCCCCTCCACCATGGCTTAACATCGCCCTTCCCACTCTCACGATCGCTCTCGGAAGCATATTGCACCTCTTCATCAGGCACTTTTGCCTCGGACAGCTTCTGAACCTCGATAGGCGCAGTCATGGTTCACCTCCAAGTGGATACAAGATTGATGAAAAGGTATGCACGGGGTGATGGGCTGATGGCTGCAGAGGATGATCGTTCGCCTACCAACTTACCAACCACTGTTCTTATACACATATCCGATCGCTCGGTAGCATAATCCCGATCCATCATGCTAGTGAGCATGTTGGCATGCAATTGTCCAACGTTAGACTGTTTCAACGCAAGCTTCAATTGCGTGTAAGATAGGGATATGTTGCCATCATCAAAAATTTCCGTTCATCCGTTTCATTGCACGAATATCGGGTCGGGTTTCCTAGGCTGAAGGACACTCCACCATGGCAGCGTCAAATGAACCGCCAAATGAACTGCCAAATAAAACTGCACGATGATTTACTCTAACCGAAGCCAGCCAATCGTTGCTCGGACAGGGCGGGTCCGATTCGGAAATGCCATTATTCCCAAGAGTCCTCCTGCTCATTGGTGCGACTTATAATACCATGCGGATGCCCAGGGTCTGAGTCATGTACTAAGACTGTACTATCCTACAGTCTAAGCTGGAACTATATCATATATGCAATAGTCTGGCGGCCAGATGCGGTAAAGGACTCCCGATACTGGTGCTATTCCTAAGACTAGATCATTCGTTATTTGTATATGGAATTGCGCAACTGATGCTATGCGATTCTGCGGGTCGAGCTCGGATAACGAGGCGCAAGTATTTCCAGAACTGGCCATCCCCAAGTTATATGAGGACGCCGTGAACCGAGACAAGTAGTTGAAGATCGTCTGTACCTGCTTTTGATAAGCAAGAAATTAAGATGGCTACCGTTGACACCTTACCTTCATATGACCTTTGGAGCGACGCTCCCGGGTATCTGCTTAACAAGCCAGAATGGGAGGCCGCCAATGCGTCCCATCCAGCATCCTTCAGCTTCGGTGATGTCCCAAAGGGCTGGCCGAGCCAGATTACTGGGCCCTCGGTATGGACCGGTGATGATCTTCGTCGAAACCGTATGTAGGACGAATTGTATGTATACAATGAGTTGACCATACTGAGACATTCATAGCCGACTCGTATCTCCGGATCCTCAAGGAGGAGGAGATCGAGGAAATAGACACTGCCATCAAAGCATGGAAGCAGCTCTCCATTCCACAGATCGAGCTCTCCCGTTCCAACTTTCCTCTTCCCACACTTGGTCCCGTGCTGCGCCAGCTCGCCAACAATATCTACAATGGCACCGGCCTCCAAATCCTGCGTGGCTTTCCTATTGCTCAATACAGTACGGAAGACCAGATGATCGCGTTCCTCGGCATTAATGCATGGATCGGCGACCAGAAGCTCAATCAAGGCGCTCAAAGGGCTGTCTGCCATATCAAGGTGAAGCGGAATATGGACTATGCTAATGACATTTTGCTGACACTTCTGTAGAGCATCGCCCACCTTGATCCCTCCCAGCGCGGCAAGATCTACGTCTCTGCCCAAGACACGAATCCACAGATGTACCACAGCGATGCAGGTGGGGATATCGTAGGCTTGATGGCCGTGAGCACGTCTGGCAAAGGCGGCAGGTCAAAGGTCGCGAGTGCGGCGCAGGTCTACAATCATCTTGCAAAGCATCGGCCGGACATCGCACGCATCTTAGCCGAACACAAGTTCCGATGGCAGGCGTACGACTTTTTCCAAGCTCTTCTCATATTTTTTCACTGACGATATCGCAGGGTTGGCATCCCTAAAGACGGTGTCCGCCTAATCCACTACCAAGACGGGAAACTCTTCCTCAACTTCTCGACTCGCACATTCATCGGGTATGGCGAGGTTCCCGATCGTGACACAAACTTCCCAGAATTGACTTTCGAAGAACGCGAAGTCTTCGGGGGGTGGCAATGGGTCGCTGATCAGTACAGCTTCTCCACGGAGTTGCAAACAGGCGATATAGAATGGTATGACCTTTCTCCTCCTTGGGAATGGAAATACAAAGGCACTGACAACTATGCTCTAAAGGGTCAACAACCTCCACCACCAGCATGCGCGCTTTGGCTTCACCGAAGATCCTTCAAATCCGCGTCACCTCCTCCGCGTCTGGCTACGTGACAGCGAACTGAGCCCGAAGAAGCCGGCAGATATGCAGAACAAATTCGATGCTATGTTTGGTGTTGAGCCGAACCTTGTACCGGTGGATGAGCTCGAGGAGGATGTTATCCGGAAAAGTACGGGAATTTTCACTGGATCGTGTGAAAAGGCTCTGGCCGACTATCGGCTGGAAAAAGGTGGCATAGGCGCGTTAAACAAGAAAGCCGACAGGTAAATATGCTGGGACACGTTCGGCATGATCACATAGACCGCGTAGGCTTCCAGAAGCTATTAATTCGATGGTAATTGGTATACCAAGGCCAACATATGCTAAGTATATCTGGATAATGTGGCCAACTTGAGGAATGGAGAGGGTGTACGCGCGGATGGACTCTTCAAATGAACAAATGATTGCATGATATCAAAATTTTTGTTCGTACCCAGCACGTACCTTTGTATGGATATCCCTTCTTGCTTGCTGTGCGAGCGAACCGTGACATATGGAGTAATAAGGTATGTGTTCAATGAGCAACATCGACGTGTTCACCTAACAATACCCCATCGAGCCACCCCTTCTCCTTCATTTTAGTGCAGTTTGAGCAATCATTTTGAACATCTCCTATCGCCCCTTTTCCCAACCCTCACCTGCCATCTTCGGAAGCCCACCCACATAAATAACATCGTCGCCCTTGTCAAGTCCATCCCAAGCCTCCGCCGTAAATGTCTCCAGTGGCATCAGGACGTGCTCTGGTACATGTACGCCTGGCTGATTTTTCTCGCTGTGCAGCTCTGTCTTCACTGCGGGAGGCACAATCTCCACAACCTGTACAACTCCTGGCCCGGCCCTCATCTGTTCCTGTAGACATATAACGAACGAGTGGAGTGCCGCTTTAGTTGCACTGTAGTTCAGACAACGTGGAGCGGGGACCAAAGCCAGGCCGGAGCTGATGAAAACCAGGTAGCCCTTAGATTGCGCTTGGAGGTGAGGTAGGAATGCCTTGACAAGATGAATGTACGAGAGGTAGTTAGTTGTTATTTCAGCACTAACAACCTCTAGATTAACTGTGTCCGGATTGGAGAAGTCGAAGCTTCGCTGGATCCCGGCGTTGAGGATGACTGAATCTAGATCCGGGTGCTTCTTCATGATATCATTCGCAAAACTTCCAATCTGGTCGAGCTGAGTGATATCCACCTGGTAGGCCGTTACTTTGTCCTTGCCGTGTTTGCTGGCAAACTCGTCCAGCCTGTCTTCGCGGCATCCAGTCCCTTACTAGGTTTTCATGCCACTTGGCGTGGCCGCGCTAGCACCACCCCCTGAAGCACTTAGCTTAATAGTTTGGAAGAATTACGAGTTCTTACTTGTCAAGATGTCACATTTGATTTGTATGCAATCCTCATATAGTATAAAGTTGTCGCACGTGATGTGCTAAAATGGTTGGGAGTGAGGTGCTGTTGTTCCAGCAGCGAAGTTGTTGTATTGTGTAAGTTGTGTGTTCTAGCTGAATGCCTGGTCCCCAGGCCCTACAGATATACGAGAGTCACGGCAAGATTATTAATGCAGTTTGTAGCCTTGGACTCCTAGAGCTCATGCCTTGGCCTGCGACAAAAGTAAATAGACACAATTACCATAGAGGAATCTAGTAGTATCTAGCTAGGTCTTTGACTGTGGAATGGTTCTATACAACTAGTACAGAGAGAAAATCCTTCTCCACAGATCTCACAGTAAAAGAAGGTCCTTCGGTCCTTGATTTGGTTATCCCTTAGCTTTTTCCACCTACACAACCAACACCACCGTCGCATCCCTCTTGAAATTCGTGCCAGGCGATGAACACCACTTCTAAGAGTAGTATGATACGGGAACTCCGTATTTGGCCGTACGTACGAGTTACCGGATCTCCTGATCCCTCGGTTGCCTCGAATTGAGGACCTTCCTGCTCATTGAAGCCCTGTACTACTCGGGGACCATGACCATCTGAGATACCTTTGATGACCATATTCCAGGCAAGCTGTAGACGGAAATCCTTAAGGCTCTGTAGGTATCTAATATTCTGCTTTCGAAACTGACATGTACCGAGGATATGAGCGTTCGAAGCAGTCGTATCGAGTATCCAGAAGAGAATAGGATACCATGTTTTCTGGCTAATTAGGTGGGATGTGAAGTAAGCTCGGCGTTGATCCGCGATATCGACGCCTCCCATAAAGCTATTGTATAGTATGGCAGCTTTAGGTTGTAGAACCGGTATCTCGTGGACCCCAGGAGGGTAGATTTGATCAAGTTCTCGCTGGTACGCAGCTGTACCAGTCGCGGGACGCCTCCGAGGTACCCAATCATTCTCTTCTGGCTCAAAAATGGTATGGAGGAAACGTATGAGTACCCGATCCTTCCATAAGAGGCTGGCAACATCGCGAACGCAGAGGAAGTCCTGCTTTTGAAGCGGCCATCTGCAATTGTCCTTTACCTCTTTGAAGTGCTGTAACGGGTACTCTTTATACGACGTCCTAGTCGTCCCACAGGCCCCAATCCTCATTTTTCGAAGGACTGAGAGCAGGCGAATATCGGTAAAGTAGTTATCCATAAAGATAACAAACTTGCGGAGACTGACAGGAAGAGAGGCTACCAAGGTAACAACCGCCTTTGAGGTAGCCGTAAGCTCAAGATTCTCGTATCTATGGGGGGGCTGATAGTTTACACCATGGATTGATGATGTATCCTTCCTTCCTCCGGTATCAAAGCTTCCTCCTAAGGTAAAAAGAAAGCTATAAACATAGCCTCTATCGGCGAGGGCAAGGATTTTATAGCCAACAGGGATAGGCTTGCCTTTAATAGAGACAATCTCCTTTGATCGACCCGTAAACTTGACCATAATCTCATCGATTGAGACGTAGTTTAAGGGGAGATATACTTGGTTGAAGCGAGCACCTAAAAGCGAGGCAATTGGTTGTACTTTGTCGAAGACGGAGGTCGGCTGCGGCTCTGTATCGGGATCAGAGGTGGATAATCCGTTTGATCTGCTTCTATCTTCGAAAGGACATAAACCTAGAGATACAGTGAAGAGGCCGCTGGCCATTCCTACTCCTGAGATCCCCTCGAGAAGCGATATTAAAGGTACCCATGTAAAGGACAAGGCCCAGCCATATCCGGATATGGCCGGCGGTAACAGGCCTAATCGAGATTTCATGCTTCTGGGCGTACCGGTTGGAGTGCTCTGCGATCGTCTTATAAATGCCTTCATCAAATAGCTGGGAGAAAAGGACAAGCGGAAGATCCCATCGCTCAGCAAGTTCTTCGAAGGAAGCGGGAGGGCGATCGTGAAGCATTGGGTCTAGGGACTGACCATTGCCATGGAAAATCCCGCAGCCAGTACAACCTGGAGTCCCACAGGATACACTCTGGGTGTCGGTAGCGCAGAGAGGGCCTTGGACGCCAATGAAGAGATCAAGCAACGCTTCGGGGTAGTGATAGTATGAGACGTATCCTTGCATCTTTTTAAAGTACGCCCCAGGCTACCCTAAAGGCCTCTTAGTAGCAGGATCAATAGCTATGTAGGAGGCATCCCCAGGTTGTCCAATTGGCGTAGGAAGAGATCCAGCGGAGGATGTTGCAGGCTCAACCTGAGGTTGCTGTAATTGGGACTCCGGATCCGCTTCCGCAGCGGTGGTAGCATCAGACGGCACTCTCCATACAAATTCAGTGGTGAGCTCATCCTCAGATACCTCGTCATCGGAAGCGGTGGCGTCTGAAGCTGATGGGAGCATCGAAAGCATAGTTGATCGCTTTGATTGTACAGAGTAGAGTTGCAATGAGCAATGGAGCTGGCAAAAAGGCGCAAAGGCTGTAATTTTCGTACCGCGTTGTGATTGGAGCCTATTAGTACGCTAACTTAGCGCCACCAAGCCCCTCCCGGCACTGAAAAGGAATGGACCAGATGGACCGTGTATGGGGTAGCGATAACATGTCACAGAAAGTGACAGAATCTGTGTTTCTTGACGTTTCCCCACTGCTTCATTCCGTATTCGATTCTATACCCCTATTCTTTCCCTTTTTAGGGAATAGATCACCATTGTAAACCATATAAAATAGCTGCAGGAACAGCCTGTTTTCGTAGGATCCGGCTCTTCAGGATCAAGTTCAATCTATCTACGCTCTTTTGGAATCTAACGGGGTTTTGTCGCAATTCGCGGGGTGATGATTAAGCACGTTCGCTGCTTTTGCTCAGTTGCTGTAGAGTCACAACGCAAGTTGGTCTTGACGATTCCCATTGTCTCCTCAAAAGGAGATCTAGCTAGTAAAACAGTTGAAGATAATTAAATACAAGGTAAATAAGACGACGGCAGGTGGACCGCCAGAATGGCAGGCTTGCCCAACCGTGCATGCTCATTGGCCGAAACCCATGATCCGAAGGTTTCCCGCCTGCTCTGCCCAGTTCGCCTGCTTCGACCTCCCATATAAAACGCGCATTCCACCATTCGTTCTTCTGCCGTTTTATTTCATCGCTCTCGTCTTCTTCCCCTTCCCTCTCCTCTCAAACCCCTCAACTACTACGGCGACCGAGAATCCACGACCGCTCTTCATTCTTCGCTTGCTCCCTGCTCCACTGCGTCTCTGGTTTCGCTGCGTTCCCTAGCCGCCCCGCTCCCTCCTGATCGCCGTCTCAAGTGTTGCACTCTGTCCACACGGCGCTGCGGTCTCTTCTGCTGGTCATTTTATTCTCAAGGAGCTCGTCTGCCTGGATTGCTAGGCATGCCTCCCGTTCCCTGGACCGTTTCTCTCCCTCTCGAGAGTGAGACGGTCGGTCTCCCTAAATCCGAATCCGAATCCAACCTCCTCCCTCTCCACGCTCCTGCCCAAGTCCAGCAGGTGGCCGGCCATCTCGCTCACATCCTGCTCGCGAGCTCGGAGTGGCCCACACAGCCCCCGGCATTGGGGCCCGTTGATTCCGTTCGGCGACGCCGACTCCAGCGCCTTGGTTCACCGTCATCCTCAATCCGAGTCATGGAAGTCGGTCACAAGGTCCACGGCTCATGACGATCCTAGACCCCTGTATCATTGTTTTCGTCGCTTTGCTGCCTACGTGGCACTGCCGGACTTGTGGGCTGAGCCGGTCTGGATGAGGCGGAGGTGGGGAAGGAAAAGCAAGGCGACGGCGAGACGAGCAGTGGCGGTCGCGTTCATGCTCAAGGAGGGCCACGAGAGGGCGAGAGGGCGAGACGGTGAGACGGTGAGAGGCATACGCATGTTACGCTTCCTCCTTTAGCTCCTTGGCTTTCCGGAAGTAGTTGGTGAGTTGGAAATCTATCTGACACCCGGCGATCCCGAAGGATCTTCAAAAAACCTGCTCATCTCGCCTAGCCTGCTGAGCCCGCGTCTCAGGCAGCAGCTGGAGCGGTCGAGGGGATAGGTGTGGTCGGAGCGCAGGGGATTGAAAGGGGCGAAGGGACTGGCTCAAAATCTGGGACGTTATGGAACGATGACGCTGTCACCAGACACACATGATGCAGCATGGGCCATGGTTCTGCCCCAGAAAGGCCGCACCGCCATCAGGCGCGAATCTCGGACTGAGTTTCCCGAGAGAGCGCATATGACCGAATACGAGCCAATTCATACGTCGCCGTTCATGCGTTAAGCATCTCCGGCCCTTGTATGGCTGAACGTTAGGGACGATGTGTTAGATTACGCGCTCGCCCCTTCGTCAAGAGGGAGGTTATCGGATGGAATACCCTAGAATGGTGGATTCGCGCGGACGGAGCTCTTGTTCCGGTCCAAGATTGAGCTACCCTTTTCCGAGCCGCCTTTGGAAGCGGCAAGTTCGGAGGCTGAGCAGCTCCATGTCGCACATTATCGCATGACGAGGGCTTTCGCGCCGCTTGAAACGCGGGATCCTTCAGGGAACGAAGGCATGACGCGGGCCTCATTCAAAGGCTGCAATGATGCAATTCAGGATCGAAAAGGGGACACGTCAGCTCAGCCTCCTTCGCTCCGGCAGATGGGCGAGCAGGCGATATCATGCTTGATTGACTTTCTACGCTTCAGCTGCACATGTTTGTTCCATCCTTCTACCTAGAAGACCGCTGCAACTGCTCCAGGAAATGGGTATGCTCGTCTAGCGCTGGCGATGGCATTTCATTCCCTTACCCCTTTGATTGAATCAATAGCCTCGGTCTTATCAGGCTCACTCTTCTCACAAGATCCGATTTAGAAGCGCCGAGCCAGAGCTGGCGGATAATCCGCTCACGGGCGAGCTGGATAAACAAGGCGAGCCTGCTTCCCGGCATAAAAGGTTTCCCTGCTCCCTGCTCCCTCCTTTCAAAGGTCAGCGACTCCTCTACACTTTTAAAGGATCACACGTATTCTAGAGTGAAAACTGCGCAAAAACGGACATGGCGGTCACGACAGCCCCTTCTTCCTTCGATGCGCAATCGCAAAATCAGTCGCCTGATAACTTTCGCAATTATTCTGACCCGCCAAAAAGCAGATGTGGAGCTGATGCCATTCTTGACATCTCTTTTAACGACCCATGGACCGATATTGATGGTATTCTGAAGGGCGAAGGCTTGACCGAGCCAAAGCCCACGCAGGAATCAGCGTGCGAGGCATTCACAGGAAGCTGTGCAGGTGAGTTACTAGAGATGCTGCGCGAACAGCTTCCGAAGAGGACCATAATCTAATCTCTCTTTAGATGCAGCTATACTTATCGAAGACAGCGAATCGGACACTGATTCCGAAGATGAGCTGCCTTCTCTTAACGCATTGTTCAGTTCGGGCTCCCAACCGGAAGTTGGTGGCACGCCGGTTGCAGATAGAGTCTGTGATTCGAGCTCGTCACAAGCGATAGAGAGCGGCGAAAGTCCGCCGTCTGGACCGAACGGCGAACTGTCTACTGGTGCCGACATGTCCTGGAGTGTTAGCGACTTATGTGAGCCAGTGTATCCCTTCCAGTGCTTCGCCCTATGCTAACGCAAATGGTAGCCAACTATTCTGCTATGGAAGTCGGCGTCTTTGTAGCGGACCATACGCGACTGTCATTTGAGAGCCTTGTTCCATCTACTGAAACGGCCGAATCTAGCAGCCTGCAACCTTCAGGTATGGCCTTACCGCGCTCTAGATTAGGCATAACCCCGACTGACAGTTTTGTACAGAGGAAACAGATAGCATCGCCGACGAAAACTATGACCCTCTAATCAATCCGTCGTTCCTTGAACAGAGGAAGCGGGTCCGTTCCTCCTCCCGCACGACCCCGTCCACCGACATCGATGTTGCGCTCGGCACTAGATCACAACATCAGATGGATAGGCAACCGCCGGAGAAGCCGCGTCCGGCGAAGCGGTCGAGACGATCTCGTTCCAGCGAGGCGCCACTATCCGTCACCGCTGTCCCCGATCCTGGGGTCGACTGTTCAGGGCGGCGCGAGACTCCAAGCATGTTTCATCGTGTAGGGAGGGAACAATCGGGCTCTGTCGATGCCGAGGCATCTCCCCAAGACAGTGATGAGAGAGACGCAGCGGATACCAGCGCTGGCCCACGACCTGCCTCGTCTCCCCGTGCAATAAGGGCGTACCAGCGACGTGCGACCGACGATCCGATTCACGAGCATAGCCGGCTAGGAGACACTGCTGACTATGGTCGTGGCTGTGGCACGGACGAAGAGCACGCCGTGGATGATGATGACCACGGAACAAGGTCGCCGAAACCGCCACCAGGGCGACGGCATCGAGGCAAGATCCAACGCAGACGTCGGCCGTTCCAGTCCGATGCTGAGAGGAACACTCGCACGCTCGCACGGGATCAGCAGATTCCACGCTTCTTAAGCAGTCCGCATCCCGACTCCTCTGCACCGAGAAGAGACGATAGCGGCCCACAGGACAGTGACAAGAGCGCACCCTTCACCATGGCCCGGCATACTGTGGTCGACATTTCTCTTCGTCCAACGCCGGGGACACTCTCCTGGCAGCTACGATGAAGGTTGATAGCGATATGCAGGCAATTTCTTACGGCACGCTGCTCAAGCTAATAGAGAATATTTTGGGCAATACAGCGAAGATACACGACATGACACTCAAACCGCTTACAGCAGGCCAATGGCTGTTAACCGGGTTCCTTCACAGTCATTACGTCAACGCCGGCGTTACCACGCGGCACGAGTTTACACCAAATCCGCGAAGGGATACTACCGCCGCGACCACTATCCCAATGGCCAACACTCCCGACTCAGAGGATGACAGCAGCGTGGGCGGGAGCGATAGTAGCGTCAGTGACGATGATATCAGCGATAAGAAATACATTGACCAAGGTGTGGAAGGCGGAACGCGCCGTCGGTGGGCGCCTTTAGAGGAACAGCGTCTGTTGGCTTACAAGGCCGAGGGGAAGCCATGGCCATGGATCTCTAGAAAGTTCCCGGACCGGACACCAGGTGCTGTGCGCGTCCGTTGGCACATGTTACATCGGTTGCAGGAAGGAAAGAACGAACGAGGCAACGGACCCACCTAGCAGGAGGACAACTCTTCGAAAAGGTCGGGTTTTGGATACGTGAAGAAGTGAAGGAATAACGTCTTCTTCACTTAACGAATTAACGATCCAGTCTTTGCAGTACTCACAATTTTATCTATGCTGCTGAATTCAATCTTCACTCAATGCCACTTCCGACACTTCCTAAGATCTACCCTAGATGAAACGCGAGGATACTACAATGATTCCTTTAAATCCATACAGCGCATTCGAAATCGGTCCTTAAGGATAGCCGAACGTATCGACGCAAGCCCACTCGCACAGCAGCATGCAGAGATGCAGCCTTCACGTGAGCAACAGTGTCTTTCCTGTGACAGATTCGACTTGGAACTCAGGAAATGGGTGGACTCCCGTTCTCGACAACCGGCATATTTTCGTAGTCACTTCGCCGGCCAAATGGTGGATGACGAAAGCGGCACCCGATCTTTTTGGGGAGCCTTGAGATTCTACTATCTAGGATCTAATTGGCCCAGATTGTTCCGGATGAAATAGAACAAGATGGCGATGGCCATTGTTACAGCCGCTAGCGAAATCGCCTTCCGCCTTTTACACCTCCAGGAATTCTCACTGAACAGCCCACTTTCAGGTCATGGCGTAAATCTTTACGCCACGATTCTTAGTGATCAATTTCCAAGTGTACAACCACCTCCCCATCATGGTTCATTTACTCGTTTATCGAGAAACAATATTTAAGTCTACAAGGAAACTCGATTCCTGAAACACTCTCCAGTCGCTGGTCTGAATAACTTACTTCGCTAGGACCTTCATCGATAGCGATAGACCGTTTCGGATGTTCGCAAGCAACGCCTACAGAAGCTAGCCAATGGTGCCCAAAAGTCGTTCGCTGGTTGTGCCCTCCTCCTCGACGAGAATCGGCTCTTGTTCAAGCAAAACATTGAAAGAAATTGTCGCAAATCGACACGGTCAACGGTAGTCGGGAAGGAGAAAATGATAAGTTAGAAGGACATTGTCGAGGCCAACATGAAGCATGATGCGAAGGAAGCTACGGCAGTATGGATAGGGCTACAGATGCACTAAAAACAGCGGCCCCACCAGTAGCGTTGGCACGTGGAATGACAGAGTTTCATTCTTACTGACCTGTCCTTCACCGATGCGGGGTAGCTTCAATGCACAGAAGAGTTAAATTGGGCCATTCCTTGTCTTGAAGTATTTTTCCGGGCTGACCTCCGCGCTCTGCTGCGCAACACTGATTAGAGTCGATTCCCGGAGTTCATACTATCAAGCCAGATATTCCACCATGGCAGATATATATGAACAAGTCTTTACCCTTAGTCCGATACCGAGTGTTATCCTCAATCCTGAGCTTCGCATCCAAAGAGCTTCGAACAGCTTCCTTCACCATACAAAGTTGCGCGTGGACGAGTTGTGCGATAGTAACTACCTCGAGCTACTCAAAGATCGAGTGCTGATATCAGACACCGATATGCGTCACGTCCGCGACGTCATCCATGGGACGATTCAGACGCTGGAAGTACAAACAGGCCGGCGCATCCGTACAAGCCCAGGGGCAGTGTGGCAACTGCGTGTGGTTCCAACGGTCATGAACGGTGCCCTCCTCTACCTGCTGGTAGAATGGCTGCAAGCTGCAAAGAGAGAAGAGAAAAACAGTCTAATCGGCAATGGTTTGGCAAGAAGCGAGGCACTCCGACTACTGGTAGGAGCTGTCAAGGATTATGCCATATTTTTGCTTGACACCGAAGGCATCGTGCTGACTTGGAACGCCGGTGCCGAGCTCAACAAGGGATACAAGCCTCACGAAATCATCGGCAAGCATTTTTCTACATTCTATAGCGAGGAAGACGTAAGAGCAAACAAGCCTGCGAAAGAACTGGAGGTCTGTCTGCTTGAGGGAAGGGTGGAAGATGAGGGGTGGAGGTACCGCAGAGACGGCACCCGCTTTTGGGCCAATGTCATCATCACAGCGATCTACGATGTCGACGTTCATGTGGGATTCGGTAAAGTTACTCGGGACTTAACCGAGCGCAAGGCAGCCGAATCTCGCCTTCTCGCCGCATACGAGGAGAGCGCAAATCTAAAATCGGAGTTCCTTGCCAACATGAGTCACGAAATCCGGACACCAATGCACGGGATGATATCAGCTAATAAGCTACTTCTCGACACTCAGTTGACCGAGGAACAGCGAGATCTGGCAGACATCATCAACGACTCCGGAAAAATCATGTTACAGGTCATCAATGACATTCTCGACTATTCTAAGCTGGTGTCCGGCAGTTTCTCACTCTCCTCGAGCATCGTCGTCATCACCTCTATTGTCGGCTCCGTGATGCGCAACTTCCAGACAATTCTCAAATCTGGCGTGTACTTTCAAAGCTTTTCTGCCGAAGGTATTCCCAGGTCCATACAGGGCGATCCTCTTCGCTACCGCCAGGTCCTCCAAAATCTTGTCAGCAACGCCGTCAAGTTCACCGACAAGGGTTTTATAGGCATCCGCACATGTGTCCATTCAGAAGACGACCACACGTATACAATCAAAACCGAGGTTCAGGATACCGGGATTGGCGTTTCTGAGTCTGCAGCCAGCTCTTTGTTTACGCCTTTCCGGCAGCTTGACAATACCACCACCAAGACGCACCAAGGCACAGGTCTTGGCTTGTCCATTTCTAAATCTTTGGTCGAGCTGATGGGCGGACAGATATGTTTCGCGCCCAACCCCGAGCGCAGCGGCAGCGTATTCTGGTTTACGGCAAAGTTCAATAAGATAAATATCTTGGATGGAATGGAAAGCCTTACAGCCCAATTTGATGGGACAACCCCGTTGACTCCGAATCCGGACGACTCCACCTTATACCGAGAATATTTTGGAACCAAGAGTCTTCTACTCGCCGAAGATAACATTATCAATCAGAAGGTTATGGTCAGAATGCTACACTCACTCGGTTTTATGCGAGTTGACACAGCGGTAGATGGTGCTCAAGCAATCAACTTGGTTATTAATAGTCCAAAGAATTACGACCTCATCTTAATGGATATCAGCATGCCCGTCCTTGATGGCATCGCAGCAGCGACCCAACTCAGAAGATCTGGGTGTCGACTACCGATCATTGCCGTCACGGCGAATGTCCTGAAAGAAAGTCGAGAAGATTTTCGTGCTAAGGGATTAAATGACTATGTTCCAAAACCTGTTGACAGAAATCTCTTGACAAAGATTCTGATGGAATGGCTGGTTCTAAAGACGTCCACGTGAACTCGGCCGACGTACAAGAGGTCACTTAGCACGGAGCATCATGATACGCGGAACAGCATAGATAATCCAGCATCGACGAACAGCACAGCAAACAGGCCCGATAGGATAGAGCTAAAGCACTAGAGGTGCAAATGGTGGAGATGAACAAGAGGGTTCTTGTCCCGGAGCATCCAGACACGAAACAATCTGGCCTTCACGTGGAGAGGACTCGGCGGACAAACAGAAGCTGTAGGACCGATATAGGATAGTGTATAACTGCAGATGAATATCCAAAATCTCTACGCAGCCAGGCAGCACCTCCATGTTCGAAACCCCCATGTCTCTTCAGAAGAACATGTGCCAGCAAATCTCAAATGATACTGGCTTGCATCTTCATACTGAGCTCGGGGCCGTCGCTCTTGGTCAGTCATTGGCTTCATTGGGCACCCAAGAGCGACAAAGCCCCAAGCTCCACTCCGAATATCGGTCGTCATCCAGCTGTCGACCGTGGCTCGATCTCCTCTAAACAGAGATGCGTCCGGGGACTTAGAGTTATCGTGTCGGCGCTCTAGAGGGGAAAATCTAGGTGCCGTCGTCCCTAAATGATATGGTCGGGATAAGACAGAGAGTTCGGAGGGTTCGCGTGACAACGTAGCACTCGCTACACCCATTCGATTGTTCGCATCCTCGGCGGCCCGCGGCTTCGAGATGAGGATTTCAATGACAAGCGCGTCCCGTTCACGCTCTTTCTGTAGCTACTTCAGTAGTTCGGTCAACACTGTAAGTCTCGCTCCCACAACATTCTTCTCTTGGCGCAGTTCTCGATTTTCGTTGGTCAATATCATTACTTCCACTCGGAGACTCTCGTCCGTCAAGGAACCTGCGCTCATCTTCGCTCGTTTTTCAATTGGCATCAACACCTCCCGCCGGAATTTGGGTCCATGGCCTTGGGCCCTCGAGGAACTGAGACTCCGTACCTGGGCATAGGGGATCGTTTTCGCTAGCGTAATCTCTCGCGTCAATGATTCCTACGATGCTGTCTGCTGCTTCGATTTCGGTATCGGCTTCGGGGTTGTTTTCATTACTAGGAGCGTAGCTACTTCATCGTCCGAGATGTTGAAACGTGGAGAAGGGGATTCTCTCCTCATGAGTTCAGATGGATTGTTCTTGGCATCGGATAGCCTGCGTTGTCTCAGGTAATCCTCCTGTGTCTGAGTATCCCCGATGATCCTTGCTGTCATTGTTCTGGTGACTGTGGTTGCCTTTGGCCCTAGTTGTCTTTGGCCCTGGTGGTCTTGGATCGTGTGGTTGTCTCTGGGATTGGTGCTACGTAGTGTTAGGTGTTCACGTGCGATCGTATTTCAGCATTGACCCTCCGAGGCAAGAGGGGCCTAGCGCCAAGACTGTCCTGCGTAAAAGTCACGTGAGACATCATATCGTGACATTATGACACCTGTTGTACAATACCCAGGACGCTGTACCAGGACACGTGAAGTACTGAGACTGTAGTCCCAGATTACTGGTGCGAGGTTCCATATCAGGTTCGGTGCTTTCCTAGTAGCCTGGGCGGCTTTATTATTACCCACGAATTCCCGCCCTCAATGGCTCGGATCTAGGGATGTGTAAAGTGGGAAAACTAAGGACTTTACCGTAAAATAGCCTTAGATTTCTAGAAAACGGAGGTCAATCTGCCGTCTTTTTGTTTAAAAGGGGAAAACACTAAGCTGTCCTAAATAGGCCTAGCCTAGGGGTAATTGGCAGTGGAAGGAAAGTTAGGGCAGTAGAAACCAACAGGGGCATCTTGCGACAGGTTTTCCCACCGTATCGCGGCATTAATCACCTGATTGAGCGAAACCGCTATTTATCTTACAGTTATGCGCCCAATTATCGCTTAAAGCACCATAGACGACATTAACAGATGGTTCTATCGTGTCTTTCCCTCTTGTTCTCTCAAATTATATTGACGTTCGCTTATTGGAAAGTCTATCGTTTCATCTCCAAAGTTTACCTCTGCAAACGACCTCGCAGTGATCATCAAGGCTGCTCTACCTCTTAAATCCCCAGCGGATTGGCGTGACTGGTACAACTTCGTCAAGTCCTACGGAAATCGAGTGAGAGTATAGAAGTACATCGACCCTACGACCGAGGAAGATCCCGAGGAACCCCAGATATACAGCAAGGAGGAATACAACAAATTGACGGAGTACGACAGGGACCAGATCGCTCAATCGAGAAAGCTCGAGGAGAATGTTCACAAAGCGAAAGTCAGGATAGGAGATATCATCTTCGCAATCGTACCTGAGGAAGCGAGGCGTGGTTTCTCTATCAACGATACACCACGTCAAATGCTCTCCTACCTCAAGTCTCGATATGGACCTGACGAAAACCAGTACGAGGAACTGGTGGAAACTGCCTGGGAACGCCTTCGCGTCCGTCCAAAGCGGATGAAGCTACAAGACTGGATCCTCGAATGGAAACACTTTAAGGAATACGCAGAAGAGCTAGGGCAGGAAACCACCTATACCGATCTGAAGCTTATCCGAGAACTCATCAAGATCTGCAGACGTGAAGATCTTGACCGATTTGCAACTCGATCTGAGGATGCTATATGGGTTGCAAGAGAACCAGGAGGTAATCCGGCGCATCTCAAACTGAATCATCACATCGAGCTCTTTCTAAAGACGTACCCTATGGAGATACCGAAGCCTATGAAAGGGGCACTTTTCGCAACTCTCCAAGGAGAGACTCTAGCGCAGACGTCTCAACCATCACATATGCCCGCTACAGCGGCATCCCCGTCGTCGACTCCCGTCCCCCCTCAACAAGAGAAACGAGAGAAGACTCTCCCAACCTGTGTGTGTGGGGAGAAACACTTGTACAGGCGTTGCCCGTACTTCAATCGAAATATTAGGCCCTCAGGTTGGAAACCGAACTCTAAGATCAAAAACCAAATCATATCTCACTTGAAGGCTAATCCAGAGGCCAACAAGTCTCTACGGAGGGTCCTTAAAAGAGAAGGAATCAGTTTTCCTGATTGGTTCCCAGCGGAACCATCCTCTACCACATCTACGAATTCGGAATCGCGTGAGGATGGATCCTCTCATGCGTTCGCTACGCGAGTGATGGAAGAATCTCAGGCGTTCGCCATGCAGGCGTTCTCCGCATTTGAGCATACAGAGACCAACGAAGGAAGGCCATACGACCAGAGTTTCTACATGGACAACCTGGCTTCTCACCACATCTGTGCAGACATTACACGTTTCACGAACTACGTGTCTACAGATGGTATAATGAAGACCGGAGACTCGTACTCATCCTATGTGGGCATAGGAGACGTTAAGATCCCTGTGGTAGGAAAGCACGAGAAACAGACATTCATCACTATCCTCAACGTCTACCATATTCCGGGTTTCCACATTAATATCGTTTCAGCCAGGATGTTCCGAAGGAAAGGCTATGTACTTGATGAGTATTCCCAGGCAATCCGCAAGCTTGACGATAGGTCTCTCCTTTGCCATATGTATCTTCGCGATGAATATTGGACGTTTACGAGCGACGTATTAGTCCCTGTACAGAAGGGAATCGCATTCGCGACACGATCGTCTTAAATTTCTATCTCAACCGCTCCTGAGGAGGTGTGGCACCGTCGGATGGGACACGTTGGCATAGACAGCGTGTGAAATCTGGTGGGATCCGTACACGGTGTGTCAGTTACCATAAACCCTCCATCGCATCCAGGCTCACAGAGTCTATGCGAGACATGTACGGTCTCTCAGATGAAAAAACAAATCTCAAGAGTTCCGCAGCATCGCGGTACTCGCCCGTTTGAAAAGATCCACGGAGACCTCATCGCCTTTAATACAGGACTCTCAGATGAGACGTAGGAGCGTCATTTCTACTGTGGACACGCACGTTTTTATTTCGTCTACCCGATTCCAAATCAACGTAAGGAGACTATCTCACGATGTCTCACTAAGACCCTTAATACCATTAGGACTATAGGCTATACCGTCCAGTTTCTTCACTTTGATAATGAAGCTGCGATCGAGTCTGACCATGTTACTTCTATCATTGAGGACCACGGAATCATCCTAGAACTGTCTGCACCGAAAACTCTAGCACAGAAAGGGCCAGCGGAAAGGTCAGGAGGTATACTTGTTACCGTCGCACGCAAAATCTGCGCAGACTCTCCTCTACCAGAGAAGCTATGGACCTATTTCGTGAAACACGCAGGATATCTCCTGAACAGGGCTCTTGTGCAATCCCCTCAGTGGAAAACCCCCTACGAAGCTGTGTTTGGTAGGAAACCAAACCTCTCACACCTCAGGATGATAGGATCAAAGGCCTACGTCCTAAAGACGGATATCGCAAAGAAGGACAAGATGGAACCACGTGCATCAATTGGTTTCCTTCTTGGATATGAAGCTACAAACATCTTTAAAGTCTGGATTCCAGACGTTGGGAGGGTAATCACATCGCGAGACGTCCGTATCGACGAGACTATCCGGTACGATCCAACAATTGATAGGAACTCCACCCTCCCCCTCATAATCGGTTTGCGCTCCAGGCATTCCTTGACGATATTGAAATCGACATACGTGCGTATATCGATGCTTTCGAAAATACCCCGGTGGTAGGTAATTACCGACCACTCGCTCTCTCAGACCCAGGACTGTCTACGCCCGCGGGAGAAATCGCGCCCGACACACGGATAGACAGGTCAACTGCAAATGTCCGCGGATCTCTTTCTTATCTTCCTACCCCCTCATCATCGAGGAACCCAACACCGGCAATACCTGCTCTACATTCCCCTACTCTTATCTCATCTGGGAGGAATGAGGACTATTCTGGCGAACCAGACGTTCCACCGGACGCTCTCATCGCAAGCCAACAGTCGGTGGAAGGGCCTACTTTACAAGTCGGTGGCCTAGACATCAACAGTACGACGGACACGGATGGGACCAGAGGAGGTAGTACGCACGATGATTACACAGGATTTACTAGACGGTCATTATCCACGCCCTCAGCCATCGGAGGAACACCTATACCGGCCCTCTAAGAGGAAGAGGAAGAAGAGAGGCAAATTCATGAACAGATCGCTTCAAATATTGCCTCCCCCGTAGGAGCGTATCAAGAGAACAGACAAAGGAAGAGTGCTTGCGAGAAACACCCATCTCAAAAGGCTAGGGACACGATGGAGACAAAGGCCTTTAAGAACTAGACGAGATATGCCTCACGTAAACAGGCGCATCTCACGATGATGCTCAATGCGACCCAATTGGCCCCATTACTCTATGCGTTCGCAACAACACGTACGGATCGCATTCATCGGGATAATCTTCCTCTACCACTAAAACATTAGGGAGAAGTCCTATCGCGCCTAGACTCGCACCACTGGATCCAAGCATCGAAAGGAGAAGTCCCTATTGTGATAAGAAACGGCACGTTTGAACTCGTTCCCATACCGAAGAACGATCCTGTGATTCCTCTCAAATGGGTCTTTACGTACAAGTTTGATGCCGACGGATATCTCATCAGGTATAAGGCGCGAATCTGCGTACGAGGATATCTCCAAGAAATTCACGACCGGGACGCACTGTACGCTGCGACAGGCGCATACACCACCTTCCGAATCCTGATGGCCCTTATCGCTGCACGATTCAATCTTCTCGATCATCAGCGTCCTCCTCTTACTCCGCTCTCCACATCATTCGACAATTACGAGCCAAATCCTAACGCAACGAAGGAACAGGTCACGGGATACCAGCAGCGCATAGGATCTCTCATCTATGCTGCGGTAATTTCACGCCCAGATATCTCTCACGCGGTGAGCCGTCTAAGCGAGTTCAATACACGCCCTAGACCTAAGCACCGACGAGAGGCTGATCGTTGTATCTCCTACCTATATGGAACTCGTTTCCACGCGATTGAGTACTCTTTCGACTCTTTCGACTCTGACCCATCGGTCTCTTCACGACCTTTCCGGTCCTATACAGATGCATCTTTCCCAGACGACCGCACCACAAGGAAATCGTCTCAAGGATATCTCATCTCACTTTTTGGTGACCCTATTGCTTGGCAGACATCCAAGCAAAAGAGTATCACTACCTCTACCACCGAAGCGGAACTCCTCGCCGTCTCTTACAGATCTAAGGAGATGATGAGGATGATACGTCTTTTCCGTGATCTTCAATTCGATCCGGAGTGCCCTATCGTCGTTGAATGCGACGATGACCAAACGGTCGGTATCATTACCAAATCCATGCCCATTCTCACCACCAAACTACGCCACGTAGACATTCATCAGTTCTGGTTGCGTCAGGAGGTGGAACGGAAGGACATATGCGTGGAATAGATTCCGTCAAACAAACAGGTGGCTGATGGGCTCACGAAGATCCTCTCTATCGCGAAGCACCGTGTCTTCTTTAACCAGATAGGTCTGCAGGACATCTACGCACTTGTTGGAGGACCAAAGGGATCGTGAGATCTATACAATCCAGACATCCCCTTCAACGGTGATATCTGAGGAGGTGTGTCACAGAATATCTATATTTCTTGGCGTTTCCCCACGGCTTCATTCCGTATTCGATTCTATACCCCTATTCTTTCCCTTTTTAGGGAATAGATCATCTTTGTAAACCCTATAAAATAGCTGCAGGAACAGCCTGTTTCCGTAGGATCCGGCTCTTCAGGATCAAGTTCAATCTATCTACGCTCTTTTGGAATCTAACGGGGTTTTCCCACCGTGTCGCTGCATTAATCACCTGATTGAGCGAAACCGCTATTTATCTCACGTAACATGCGTGCCGTTCTCCAGAAACCTCTCTGCCAAGGCGAGACCAATGCCAGACGTTGCGCCAAGAACTAAGGCTTCCTTATACGTGACTGGCATCGTGAATGAAGTTGTAAACACTCGCCGATCGATGATAGAATTGGATGGAGGAAAGTCTTAGAGAGCCCTAAAGTGCGGACGATGGCGAAGGTGTTGGGACCGGATAAACAATGATGATACTTTGTGGAATTTGGGAGGCTAGGAAGGACCAAGGCGTTGGCAATTCCTTCAGGTGGCGCAACAATCACAAGACACGTCCTACTAGCCACTCATGCGAGCTGCACAGTATTAAAGCGCCAGGAATGATCGGGAAAGAGGGGAAATACGAAAAATACGAGAAGGCCATATCTGGCTGCCGCGATGGCGGGATTGTTGATGAGAAGGCTCAAATACGACCACTCAGTGAGTCCCTTCGGCCGCTCCTCTAAAACAAGGCGCTGCCGACTCCAATATCACACTGATATCTAGCAAGGTGCGAGAGTTTTAGAAGACATCATTGCATCAGTGTGCATGGTAGTGTAAAAAGGTAGAGAAGAATCAGATATGGAAACCAAAGTTGGATAGGATCGTGTTTAAAAGCAATGATTTCAGCATCACCTTGTTAATTGGGGCACCGTGCCGTAACCTGCGGCTATTACCCTCTGCACTCGCTATCCCATCGCGATGGCTCGTCTTGTCTGTTACTGATATCCGCAAACCCCCGTAGCTGCCAGTGGTTTTGCCTCGCCACAGTTGCCGCCAGTCCACGGTTTGCAAGAGGATGTGCATCTTGTACCTAAGGCATGAATATATCATCATGTCCTGGTTTGTGTGCATCATTGTTTAGAGGGCGTGTCCAAAAATAGTGAAAGTTGAAGCGGTACCATAGATTGACGTTAATAAGATCTGCTTGATGTCTTTGGTTTCCTTCTCCCCTTCAGTCCATGACTAATGACGGTCAGATATGATACGTATAACGTAACGTCGCTCTTGCGCCTATATAAACATCCAAGGTTAGAAGAGAAAACAATCTCGCTAAAATTCTATCGTCGCGGGATCGGAGATAGCAGGCAAGCTGCTTGACTTCGAGATAAGGGGCAGCCTCTGTGAGAGCGTGTGGCTGCGAGGACTAATAGTGCTTGGGTGAGAGGCAATCTCAATGGTCGTGCTGGGTCCCCAACCTCGAGCAGCCAGGTGGATCGGTGGTCAGTGGTCCGTCGTCACCTGCTTACTGTGTACATCCGGACGACTGTGGAAATTCTGGTTCGCGAGACCATACGCAACGGCAATCGAGCTATTGAATCCACAGTCAACTATTGTACGAATTGGTACGATAATTCTTCTCGTATTCCTCATGCATTATTTTACGGTTACAGGGGCTCGACCACTTCTACGGTATCTGCTCTGCCAGTCAACGATCGATTATTAATCACACCAGACAGTGGTATATTAATCTACCTTGTGGTTCAGTCACATGCATATGTGGCAGGACGGTACTTTGCACTGGGAGATACATAAGAGCTGGTCAACGGCGTTTTTTTTCTCGAAGAGTCCAGATTCTCTCTCGAGCGGCAGTTGAGCAGCAGTTAACCGTCTATTGACGCAGATTTCGATCGCTTGTTCGGAGTCACTCATCCCGAAACGGAAGTATTTTTGCGGTCAAAACCTGAACCACTTGTCCATCAGCCTGCACGCCGCTCTAAGGCATTTCACTTGCGTTTTATCCAGCGGCTTCAGTTGGCGGTGGTACTGTCTTTTGCGCACGTCTCTTTCTCCGCCTACGGAGCAGCCACCAAACCAGAATGATACAGAAAATCAGTCCACCAACCCCTCCAGTAACCCCACCGATGAGTCCTTTACGATTTGAGCGGTCTATGTGATCCTCATCGATGTCCTGTGATGCCCGAAGTCGATTCAAAGGGCAAGGTCTCCACATGCTGCGAGTGCCATATGCATGAGTGCGGGAGAAATTAGGTAAATTACCCATCAAACTCCTAGGAATTGGGGTGAAGGTCGACAGTTCGCGCGCATGCCACGATATAGAATATCCCGATCGTGTACCCACAACGTCGGCTTGACATTCACTGTCGCGCGACTAGTAGGGGCAGACTCCGATATCATTTTTGTCTTGTGCGTAAGGTATGAGGAACATCGGAAGTATTCTGTTCCCCACGGTCCGGCAGCGAAACCCCTGTCCTCCATTAGTCCAGCCAGAAATGGCACCGACACGCACATCACTTACGGTGGACAGCAGTATGCGGTTGTATAGGGGATTCCGACGCGGGTATTGGTCGAGATGATAAAGGTAGAATCGCGATCGGGTCTCGGATCAAGAGTCCACCATGCTGATATGGCTGTGCTAAATATGTTGGTGAGGTTTGCTGTTCGGATCCCTATAATTTTGTATCCATGATGACAGAAGACTTTGACCGGGGCAAAGGCTTTATAGCCCCTAGGCTCTCTGAAGTGAAAGAGGACAGCAAGGAACGCGCCTCTGGAGGTGTACACGTTGCGACTGCGGCATCGAAAGTAGCATCCCAGATTGGCCATTCATCCTCGCAGGTCATATGGTATATCGTGAATAGACGTGTAGAACAATCTGGGGGAGGCGTGAAGGTTGTCGTCGGGAATGATGCATCCCAAGCGGTCATGTAGAACGGAGGGGGGGTTCGGATGGTTGGAGTCGGTTCTGATGTGGCTGCCATGGTGAAAGGAGAAAACCACGGGAATGGGAGCGACGACTGCTAGTTTTGTCGAGAGCCGACTGTTGGGGGTTATTTAACGCATGTATATTCGAGATATACTGTGCAGTAAGGTACCTAGGCAACAAATATCCGCGTATACCCAACCATATCCACCGACCTGGCTCTTTGGGCGAAGCCTACCCTTAAGTATTTCTATTGCTTCCATGCTCTTGCTGTGGCGACTTTCCCAATGCGCCCTATAGGCATTCTTACTACGTACGTAGTAGTAGATCTTAGTCCATTGATCTTCATCTCATGATAGCAGAGTTCTATTCTTTTTCCTTCTGATAAACCACCCGGTGATTTGCGTGGTGATAGGTCCTGTCCTGACGAAAGTTCAGCTACCATGCATCAGAAGCAAAACAGGGGTTGATTCTGGGGTTGATACAAGCGCCGAAGCGACAAAACTTTAGAACATCGAAAGGATTTGACTATTTGAGCAACTAAGTTAAAGATACGATTAGTAAAACATTCGAATTTCAATGGGGCTGGATTTTTGGGACGAACAGATCGCCCAATTATTTCGATCTCGGTACGGGCGCCAAGTGTAAATCCTCAGACCAGACCTACTGATCAGCAGCCAGCAGCCCAGGTTTTAACACCACAGCATTGCCACAGAGAGGCAGTGCTTCGGTTCGCTGGCTTTGCTTTGATGTCTGCGTCGCTGCTTATCTAATTACATGGCCCTGATTCCTTCCTGGTGTCCTCCAATACTATAATGTGTTACAGGAACGGCAGTTTAACAACGAACCTTGCCCGGCATGAAATCCTGATCTAGGCGCAGTACAGAATACGAGGCTGCGGTTTCCGATGACGATGGCACGACGTTCAAATATATTCTAATAAGACGAGTTAGAATTGCAGGTACAACTCCAGGTCATCTAATATCCAGTGGGATTTCGACAGAAGAGTACATACCGGTATGGTAAAGTACTGTAGTTACATATAATTATTTCGTAACCTCATCAAAGTGCCCCTCCGAAATCTCAGCGCTTTCTTTCGAAGTCACCACCCTTTCGAAAAGAGTTCAAACCCTCCCGACGATCCCTCGCGTCTTGCAAACATGGACAGGCTCTTTCCGCCAAACCAGTTATGGTCAGGCGGTCTTCGAAATGGCATGGTCGTTTTGCTCGTCATTTCCACCCTGGTGTGCATCTACACGGTACTCACGATCGCTTCATTAGGATATGCGGTGACACATCCATTCATATCGAGTTCAAAACTCTCTTCCAAAGAGTACGAGGAGGGCAGTTCGGGAATCGCATGGGGAAATTCCAATTATAACGGGAGCGATGCGTACGTCCGCTTTTACGTGATTCTGGCTTCCTGCTTGCTGTGTATTCAGCCATTATCCTGCCCAATCAATCATACAATACTCAAGAGAATGCACAAGCTAACGATTTACGGACATTTCGAGATCATGATACGCCTTTTATTTGTCCCCGTAGAGCTCTTCCACCTTCCCATCTCCTTCTACCTGTATCGCTCCGACCGCCATCACCCTGTCGCAGCGCTCGTAATGTCAATCCTGCTTCTCGGCACATGGACCACCGTAGCGGTCTTCCGGGCTTTTCTGGACTTCATGTTTCATGAGATACCCCTTACGAGCACGTGGCTGTCACTGAGCTATACGTCCGTCGCGTTCGCGTCATTCACTACCTTGGCGTATATCGTGTACCTGGGGTACGCTGCCGCTGCCGTGCATGCGTGGAGGCGGGAGAAAAAGGAAAGAGAGCGGATGAGAAGGCTGAGTTGGAGGATTGGGAACGGCGGCGATGGAAATGAGATCGAGTTGGAGAGAAAGGGCTGACGAGAAGCGACGCATACGTTAAATGATCTAAGGATGAAGGATGACTGCGGTAGTTATCATAATGTTTATAATAATTAATCTGTAATACTTACCAGGATACGACGACCCAAGAACGAGGTTTGTAATGGGGATTGGTGTCATAGCAGGACTCTGATACGAGAAATGGGCGAACAGACTGAAAGTGGAGAGGCCACACCATCTTATAATATCAGATGGCAGGTTTCTCTTTCGTCGAGAAGTTTAATTCTTAATATAACTGTCCTGTAACTCACGATACGGCAACTCCCATTCCCAATCTATTAGCGACTTGTGCATACCTTGTTACGCTTGTGTCTGTGTCAGCGTTGCAAACCAAGGCATCAGCTCCAGGAGCCTAAGGCTAAAAACTGCGTTATAATTTTGCCATGAGTGTTATGGTCCCAGACTGTGGCATGAGTCCTTGGGTATGGTTGATTGCGATGGAGATGTGGCTAGTGGATTGCTTAGGGATTATCAGAAAAGCAAACATGGTGACACAACATTACTCTAGAGCAGCAAAGGGGAGAGTCGCTACTTCGAGTACAAAGGCGCTGAGGGATTTCTTCCTTCTCTCTCTCTAGTTTAGATTAATGGAACTTAGTAATCGCAGACCTTGCGCTGTTGCGCATCCAAACCGTGTTAATAATGAGTCTCGTATAAGTTTTCTGCTGCCCACCCCCGATCCCGCCCACTTCGAAATCAGTTGCACTAACTAGGATGGTTAACTTAAGTTTAACCAAGTCTTAACTATTACTAATTCATTCCATATGGCGGGCCACCCATTCGCACGAGGAGATGGATTTCTTCCTAGAGCTCTAGGGGAAATCTCAGCCGACAAGCACGAAGTTGAGAAAGTCATGAGGAATGTCACAAAGGACATTGGCGACGTATGGGGTGATGTGTAACACCCCAACGTCGGACAGTTCGTGCAGTTGAAATGTTGAATTGAGGGCATAGACCACTGATATGTGGCATTAAAGGCGTTCCACCACCATGTGATGGGGCAGAGACCGGAGTGGGGCCTGCGGGGGTCTTGGCGGAGGGCGATCTCTACTTTGCCGAGTATTAGCCGTCGATGGGGTAATCAGGGTCCGCTGCCAACCAGGGTCCAGGAGTATCCTCCGGCGTAGCTGGTAATTACTAATTATCCCAACTCCTGGCCACCTCCACCTCCACCTCCACCTCCACCTCCACTTCCACCTCCTAGATACGACTTTCGCGTAAGCACCATCGCCCGCCGTTCGCAGCGATACAAAGACGAGGAAGAGAAAGAGCGAAAGGACAACAGACGGAAGACCCAGCCGTCGCATGTCAGGAAGATATCATGGCCGAAGACAAGCTCGAACCCATCGATGAATTCAACGTCCGTGAGACGAAGCCGAAGAAGGTCGCGTACTTCTACGACAGCGATGTCGGGAACTACGCGTACGTAGCAGGACATTATATGAAGCCGCATCGCATTCGAGTCGCTCACTCGTTGGTCATGAACTATGGCTTGTACAAGAAGATGGAGATCTATGTTAGTTCATTCCCTCCCTCATGGCGGTCTGCGGCGGATGCGACACCTTGAAATCACTTGCAATTGAGCTCATGCATGAATATGAGCCAACGGTATGTCTGTCTTAGAGAGCAAAGCCAGCCACTAAGTACGAAATGACCCAATTCCACGCCGACGAATACATCAACTTCCTCTCGACCGTCACTCCCGACAATATGGACAACTACTCGAAGGAGCAATCCAAGTACAACTTTGGAGACGACTGCCCCGTCTTCGATGGTCTGTTTGAGTTCTGTGGTATCTCCGCAGGTGGCTCAATGGAAGGCGCTGCGCGTCTGAACCGGCAAAAATGTGACATCGCAATCAACTGGGCGGGAGGGCTACATCACGCGAAGAAGTGCGAGGCGAGCGGGTTTTGCTACGTCAACGGTGTGCCACCCCGACTTTCCACATGAGAAACCCAGCTAATCCTCACTCCCAGACATCGTCCTTGGCATCCTCGAGCTCCTCCGATTCCACAAGCGAGTTCTCTACATCGACATCGACGTCCACCATGGCGATGGCGTCGAAGAAGCGTTCTACACCACCAACCGCGTCATGACATGTTCTTTCCACAAATACGGTGAATTCTTCCCGGGCACCGGCGAGCTCCGCGACATCGGAGTGGGCGATGGCAAGAATTATTCCGTGAACTTCCCTCTCCGGGACGGCATCACCGACAAGACCTACAAGAGCGTTTTCGAGCCCGTCATCGAAGCGATCATGCAGTGGTACCAGCCTGAAGCGGTCGTCTTGCAGTGCGGCGGAGATAGCTTGTCGGGAGATCGTGTGGGCAGTTTCAATCTCACGATGAAGGGCCATGCGAACTGTGTGAGATTTGTCAAGAGCTTCAATCTGCCCACTCTGGTCCTTGGTGGCGGAGGCTACACGATGCGGAACGTGGCGCGGACATGGGCTTTCGAGACCGGGGCCCTAGTCGGACAACTAATGCCTACCGTCTTGCCTTTTAACGAATACTACGATGTAAGCCACTCCTTCACTCCTCATCCTACTTCGGGCCACTCCAACATGATGCCAGTATTTCGCCCCTGACTACGAACTCAACGTCCGTGCCTCCAACATGGAAAACAGCAACTCTCCAGAATACCTCGACAAGATCAAATACCAAGTCATCGAAAACATCAAGCGCACCGCCTTCAACAACTCCGTGCAATTGACCGAAATCCCCGGCGAGCTCCGCCCCGGCATCTCCTCCGAAGACGACGACATGCGCGACGACGAGGACGAGGACGCCTTCCCGGACATCCGCGTGACCCCGCACCGCGAAGACCAACGGACCCACGACGACCGCGAGTTCTACGACAGTGACAACGAGGAGACGGAGCGGCCCCGGGCGCGACGGCGCCTCAGCCACTTGGTTGGGCGCATGATACTGCAAGACGAGCACAAGGACACCGAATCCCGCGACGCCGTGATGGCGGACAGCGAGGACATCCTCGCCGAGATCGCCAAGGTCGACGACGACATGGACGAAGACCCTGACGCCCTACACACCAACCACCCCATCGACCCCACCAACCCCACCGTCGCCCCCATCAACGGCACCCCCACCCTCCG